CAGATGCGGACAGGCTGCGGTATGCTGCGCAGTGCTGCCCTGCCGCTGCTGCTGTAACGCTGCTGCTGCTGCTGCTGTAGTTGCCACGGAACGACGCTGTAGAGGTTTGTCGGAGCGCTGCAGCACGCACAAGGCCCTCCTTTCCCCTGTGCTGGTGAAGGGCGTCGCGTTCATCTTTGTTTGCTGCAGCATGATATGCTGATGATGCTGCTGCATTTGTATGCAGCACCCCACAAGGCCTGCGATGCAGGCCGCCATGGGCAACCCGGTTACTCAACTCGCCGGGGTTCGATGGGGGCCCCTCAAGGGAAGACGAATTCGTTGTTCCTCTGGGGGCCCCCTTTGCACAGAGCATATTCTCTGAGGTCTCGCTGTCTACGTTAGTGCTGATTCTGCTTGCGTGGTGAGCCTCCCAGTTCCCAGGACGGGCCGATGGTGCCGTTGTTGCAGCAGCAGCAGCAGCAGCAGCAGCTGCTGCTGCTGCTGCTGCATGCCTTGCGTCTTTGTCTTCTCCGTAGTTCGTCTTTCTGTGCAGCGTTGCAGCAGCGGAAGCATCAGAAAGCGAGTAATATCCGACTGCTGCTTCAGCAGAGTGGCTTGAGGCTGTAGGCGCCGCGGATATGCCTCCGTGGGTCTCATGCAAACAGCTGCTGCAGGGGTCGTGGGCAGGGAAGCCCAGTGTGTGTTCTTGTTGCTGCTGCGGCTTCTCCTGAGCCTTTCCGCAAGCTGTGCATTTGTAGTGCGAGCTGCAAGGTTTTGGGGTTTGTGAATTTGTTGCATTGAGCGGGCAGTTGGGGGTGCTTCCTTGCTGCTGCAGCGGACTCAGTTGTCTGTACATCTGTTCTTCTTCGCGGTGTGCATGGTTTCTTCCAAGAAGCGCAGCTGACCCCAAGCCGCATCTCTCCTCCCTGCTGCTGCTGCTGCTGCTGGCGATGCAGCTGCGCGTCTGTCTGTAATCTGCAGGTTGCCCTGCTGACCAGCTGAGGTTGAGGGTGTGCAGTGTGTTCGACTCCTGCTGCCTCATCCTCAGCAGACGTTCTGCACCGCCGTCTTGGCTTAAACAGGTTGGCTGTGAGCAGTGAGACATACAGGGGCTAGCAGCAGGGAGCGAGGCACATATACCCCTTCTACTACAACCCACTTCCTGACAAGAGGCAGAAAGATCCGTCTTTGCATTTGAATGCAGCTCTGCTTGCATCTGTGACGGTTCATGGAGACTGCTTAAACGCAGAGGAAGAGTGGGTGTTGTAGTCTGCTCCTGGTTGTACACAGAAGCTACGTTGCTCTCCCCAAGAGGCTCCCGAGAGCCCCCACCAGGCTCCTGTGCAGCACTGAGTTCGGGTGGGGGTTGAATGAGTTCTGCAATGCGATGCACAGGAAAGAAATGTATTATAAAAGTTACATTTTATATTTCGTCCTGTAGTTCAAGTAAAAAATTTCTGTGAAGGTTCTAGGGATGTGTTTACCTTCATAAAACGTTATAAAACGTTATTATCATATGAATGTGTATTGTTCTAAAAACATATTTCTCCCCCCATTGCATGTATGCATGAACACGACTGTGGCAGCAAATAATGATAGGAAAAAATATATACACTTCCTTTATTACATCTGATTATATATATTATATTAAAAGAAACAGGAAATTGATATATACCTGTTGTGCACATTTCGCCGATAGGTGAATGGCTGTTCGTCTTCTGCGGTGACAGCTTCTGAAACTGATCTGAAACAGCACAGCAGCAGGCATGTGGTGTGTACGAGTTTAGGTATTTGTGTTTGTGTCTTTTTCTTCGTACTGACGAGCAGAAAAGAAAGATACAGCAGGCGACTTCAGGCTGGAGCTCAACAGCCAGCATCAACGGATAGGCAGACAAATATGCAAGGAGGAGTAGTAGACTTGCATTCGTCAATTGAACACAATTCATCGCTTTCCGTCTTAGTGCCTTCAATTGCTTGAGTCGAGCAGAGCTGATCCGTCACCTGCAAGGCGCGCAGCAGCATTTTTTAATGTTTTGGGGTTTACAGTTTTGTGGGTTATGGGTTAGGCGCTATGGGGAAAGCGACTGAAGGCGGGGGGCTTGGGGTCACCTGTTTAGGGTTTTGGGTGTATGCTCCTACCTGTTCCGTGGCGTCTTCCTTTGGATCTATCTCTGAAAAATTCTTGAGGGGTTCCTCCAGAAGTGGTTCTTCTCTGGGCGATTGCGCATGCGTTTTGTCTGTTGCCTTCATGTTATCCTCAAGATGATGGGGATAAACAAGCCGAAGCAGAAAGGCCTTTTCCTCTCTTTCCGTTCGCAGATCCGCATAGGCGGCATCTAGTGCCTGACGTACATACCTCAAAAAGCAGGAACTAGTTTCAGTTCGTAGGAAATTCGTTTGTTCGCCTGCAGTGTCAGCTTCTTCCTCTTTGTATCCTTCTGCTGATGAAATGATGCAAACTAAGCCGTAACTCTACATGCACCTACGAGGGCTGTGCGCGCTGCCTTCGCCTCAAAGTGAGCCTTTGATTTGCGCAGAACCTCAAGGCGTTGCGCGAGCTTCAACAGCTCTTGCTGCTGCTTCTCACTTTGCTGTTGCACCTGCATGTGTTGCTGCT